AGAAATGGAAAAAAGAATTCATTCCTCCTTTTGGTTCCTGTTTGTTGGGCCATTTTCCACTTAGCTGGCAGATAGTGCTCGACAAAATACACTATTTGGTGGGGTTAAATCTTTCTAATGTATTTTTTTAGTGAGATATAATTCACATGCTATAAAATCCATTCTTTTAAAATGTATAATTCAATGTTTTCTTTAGCATATTCACAAGGTTGTACAACCATCACCCACTATCTTGATTTCAAGACAGTGGGGTTAAATTTCATCTTGAATCTTTGAATGAAACATCAGAGATCAACTTTGATTTTCAGGAAACTTGTTTAAAAACCTGCCAAGCATGTTGGCTCACAACTGTAATCCCAGCACTTTGGGAAGCTAGGGAAGGAGGATCGCTTGAGGCCAGAAATTCTAGACCAGCCTAGCCAACATAGCGAGCCCCGTCTCTACAAAAAGTAAAAAAATTAGCTGGACATCATGGCACCCACCTGTAGTCCCAGCTACTCTGGAGGCTGAGGCTGGAGAATCCCTTGACCCCAGGAGTTTGAGATTACAGTGAGCCATGATTGCACCATTGCATTCCAGCCTGGGTGACAGCTAGGGCCTGAATCACCCCTCTGCTGGAAGATGGAGAAGGCCATGTTCCAGGGGGGAGCCATAGTCACTGTGATTTTTCCAGAAATACCATCAGAGACTCCAACCTAGTGTTCTATTTTTTGTTTTGTTTTGTTTTTGTTTCCTTGCGCTATCATCATTCTCTTTGACAAGGTGGACAGACCTTAATTTAGCTCCAACCCCCCTTGCACCTAATTGCCAACCCTTTGGTGAATTAATGAGTCTTACTAAAAATTAAAATTAAAATAAATAAACAAATAAATAAACTTTTGTTCCCTCTTGTAAAGGAAACTTCAGGTTTTATTCAAGTGCCATTTATAAAAAACATAGAAAAAAGAGTCAGAGGACACGGAATCTTTCTTAGCTTTGTTACTTGATTTCTTTTCTTTCTGCTATTGATGATTTTTAAATCTTAGGTCTTCAGGTTGGGGCTTATTACCATGGCTTTGTTATAATAAAGAATATTCAAAGCAGAAACAGTAAGACTTTCTGTGGTCTGTTGTCCTTCCCTTCTTTGTCAAGCTATGCTTTATTAGGGCAGGGCTTAGGCCTATCTTGTTCCTCTTTGTCACTATCACCTAGCATAGGGCCTGCCATACAGGAGAGGCTCAGGAAGATTTGCTAAATAAATGGGCTCTATTGGGTACCCAGGGGAAGCTGTTTTTGGTATGTATCACTCCAGGTGGTTCATGGTGACCTTAGTACTTTGGCTTTGTGGCTAGCCAGGGAATTCTTTCATACCCCTGAGATATAGAACTGCCTCTAGAATGTGAGAGCTTGACTTCTTCCCATGTAGTACTAAGCAAGGAATCTACAAGGACCCTGTTATCCCCATAGTTCTCAGGAACTGTCATCCGACTGTAAACTGGATTTGTAAAGCCTTCTTGAGTTGGCGTGGTGAAGCATGCTGTGGGTGGTGTGAGTGGTGTGAGTCTTTGAGTGTGCACACATGTGCACAAGTGTGCTCACCTAAGCTCACAAAGGAACTGTGAGGAATTTCTCCATGTTTTTATAAATTGTCCCTTTCTTCTTGCCCTTTGGTTTCTTGGTAGGCCAGAGTGCAGTGGGGCCTCTAGCTTGGGCACATGGCCCAGGCATGCTGGCATTCAGTGGCCTATTGTTTCTTGCCCCTTATGTGCATGGACAGAGGACTGGGGCTGGCACAGCTGCCTTCTCGGGGACCATTGTTTGTCTCTGTTGCAGCAGCAAAGCCTGAGGCAGCACATTCTGCCCTGAACAGAGCAGCTGTTCTGTCTTGGAGCTGTGGGCCTAGGGGTGGGAGTGGTTAGAGTGTCCCTTAAATGTCTGTGTCGATGCTCTGAGGATGGTAGCAAGGGAGGCTTCTTCTTCGAGGTGGGTAGTCGGGGAGGGGAGATGCTCAGTGGTGTCATGTCGCAAATAAGCCACAGTGGCAGGTGGTATCTATTAGCAAAGCCTCTTCTTTTCCTGGATCAGGGGTGGAGATATCACTTTCTTACTTTCTCTGTCCTCTGGGCTTACTGGCAGACCTCAGGTTGTGCTCACAGGACAAGAAAAGCACTTCCTCCACAGCTGCCCTATAGAGTAGATCTAGGAAGTAGGGAAGGGATCCAGTCTGGTTGTGGACAAGCTGAAACATGGGCTAGCTAATGATCTGGTGGGCTAGTCCGAACTTGTCTCTGGGGGCCTGAATCACCCCTCTGCTGGAAGATGGAGAAGGCCATGTTCCAGGGGGGAGCCATAGTTACTGTGATTTTCCCAGAAATACCATCAGAGACTTCAACCTAGTGTTCTATTGTTTTTTGTTTGTTTTTGTTTCCTTGCCCTACCATCAATCTCTTTGACAAGGTGGACAGACCTTAATTTAGCTCCAACCCCCCTTGCACCTAATTGCCAACCCTTTGGTGAATTAATGAGTCTCACTTCAGTTTTCTCTCTGTGCAATCAGGATAATTGGGGCTACCTTATAGACTAGTTATGAGAATTAAATGAGATGATATATATAACGGTCCAGAAAACGTGTTCAGTAAACACATGCTCCTTTCCCTTCAAGGGTCTCAGAGCGGGTGGCTGAGGGTGGGATTCAGTTTATGCTGTACTCCCCACTCATTGAGGCACCTGAGAAAGTCAGGGTGGAAATGCATCCTGGCTGGATGTGCCTGGGGCTTCTTAGATTAAATCACATATCTCAGAGACTTCGTATGAAGTGCTTGTTTTTTGGACAGGACAACTCTAGAGTGGCCTAGAACTTCATGGTTATCATGGGACTTTGCCTAGGCCTCTCTCTTTTTGGTGAGAGGTGGGTCATGCAATCTAAGTGTTCCTTTCTGCTCCCCTGGTTAGTGATGTTACTGAGGCAAATTCTTAAGTGAATTACAGGCAACTCAGAGGGGCCTGACAGCCCTACTGCCCATCCATATCTCCTGTACATCTGTTACTGATTGGGTACCCGGAAAGCTTTTCATCTTAAGAAGCCCTGATTCTTATTTAATGGTCAAGTTGTAAGTAGTATCAATGAGCATTTTGAGTGCCTTCTCTACCCACAGTCTGCCCACGCAATGGCTACTACTGCCAGCTTTTCAATAGTACATAGAAGGGGACAGATGCCTCCAGGAATAGTCTCAAAAAGGGCTGTTGCCTTTAAGAGATCCAGAAATCCCTGGCAAGGCCCAGATGCTTGACATGACCTCTGCAGATCTTTACCCTCAACACCCTTGTAATCAGACTCCATAAAACCCAGAACAAGAGAGCTTTGATGAGTGATGAGGTAGGCGGCTTTTCTGCACAGCCTTCTGTCTGCTTCAAACAATCCTTCTGTGCTCAGTTTCAGTTCAGGTGAGGTTACTGCAGGGCTGGTTGGCACTGGTGGTTGGCAAGGGGGAAGTGTGAAGGTGAAGAGGGTGAGAACTGCACTTACAGATCACCCACAAAGGACCAGATACTTGTGCTACATACTGACATCTGTAAAAACAGAAACAAAAAATGTAGATGGGATAGATTACAGACCCCCAGCTACTCCAAGGCAAAGCTAAATGCACCATTTACCCATCTTCATTGCTTCTTGAGAGGAATGGTTGCGAACCTTTCAGCATCATAGACCTAGTCTTGGATTTGCCTCTGATTTTGCTACAGTTCACATGAAAACTCTAGACACCTGCAGCCCCTGTAACTATGCATTACATAGCCTAGACGGAAAGAAAGTATTGTCAACAACCGTACTATTTTGGAATGAATTCGGAGCATGCATAAGGAAAGGCATAATATAGATTGGAGTCACTGTCACATCCTAATGCACTTGAGCTGAGCAGGCTTGCAGGGGAAGGGGATGAAAGAAATGGCTCCATTCTGACTCACATGGGGATTGGGACATAACTTCAGCAGAATACACACTGCAGGCCTTCTCTGAGCCGAAAGGCAGTCTAGCTCTGGCAGATTTCTTCCTGTGAGTGCCAGGTCTCTTGTCAGTAACAAATGCAGTGTTGCATTTGAGGCAGATCTAGTTGCATCTGGAGTTACCATTGCTGCAGTTCCGGGGAGACAGTGTTTGCTAGCCCTGTACAAGGACTCTGGCCAGCCAGAAATCTGCAAGTTAAAACTTAACCAGAAACGTTTCTAGCTGTGACACTGTAGAAGCTCTTTGGCATCCATGAGAATGAAGCAACAGAGATATGAGTGACATTTGTTAGTGAAAAAAATCTCTTTCCAAGTCAACTTCTTGAAGATTGATTTACATTCTGTGATACTGCAAACTGTGAAATCTGATTGACAGGGAATGGTTTCCTTGCCCAGAAGTCCTGGTTCTTGTCTTGTTCAATTGCTCCCACTTGACCTTGGACAGATCCCTTTCTGCCTCCATTAAAATATCCTGACCCTCACCCTCCATCATGAAGATGCTAGAAAACATTTTGAAATGATGGGAGAAAATATAAAATGTAGGAGTCAGTCATTCTGGATTTGAATCCCAGGTCTACTACTTAAAAGCGTGACTTCTTCAAGATTCAGTTTTCTCATCTTTAACATGGTGATAAAGTAGTACCTACTTCATAGAGTGGTTGGGAGATAATTCCTTTGGGCCCTCTGCCAGAAGAGAAGGCAAATTTTGGTAGTGTGCCAGAAACACAGTAAATTGCTCAATAAATGGTAACTCTGAATATTATTATGTCTAATAAGCATCATCTCCTAAATGATTCAGCAGATTCTTGGTTCACAATATTCTTCAATGGCAAAAGAGTCGGTGGAGTTTTGGAGGTGCCTCACATCATATGGCCAGTTTAGACTTTAGGCTTTTTAATTAGAGGCTTTGAATTCCCCATACCACAGGGAGCAAATAAAGGGAAGGTGGGTGAATGTTGATGTCTGTGGTGTTTATTTAGGGCTGTCTGTCTGACTGTTTTCCTTTGTTTTTCTTGCAGAGATCCGTGCTCAGCTCACAGAGCAGATGAAATGCTTGGACCAGCAGTGTGAGCTCCGTGTGCAGCTATTGCAGGACCTGCAGGACTTCTTCCGAAAGAAGGCTGAGATTGAGATGGACTACTCCCGCAACCTGGAGAAGCTGGCCGAGCGCTTCCTGGCCAAAACACGCAGCACCAAGGACCAGCAATTCAAGTAGGGACTCTGTGAGATAGTGGGAGTGGGGTTTGGGGTGGAGGGAGGCAGGGTGTGCCACTTAGGTCTAGTTGGATTCATGAGTTACTGATGTCAAATTGGTTGAAAGCCCTCAAGGACTTCTCCTTTTCCAGATCAGTCTCATGTGCATTTCAATATCCTGGAGATGATATTGATGAACCACACTGATAATAACAGCAAACAGTTTTGTAGCTCTTTTATTGCCAGGTATGGTTCTAAGAGCTTTTCATATATATTAGCTCACTTAATTGCCACAACAACTCCGTATGTTGGTTATTGTTATTAACCTCAGTTTACAGATGAGGAAACTGAGGCATAAAGAGGTTAAGGAACTTAACCCAGGGTCACACACACACTCTCTTCCCTAGTAAATAGGGCTGGGATTCAAACCCAAGCAGTTTGGCTCCAGGGTCTGTACTTTTAACCATTTCACCAAACTGTCTTTAGCCAAAAGAAATGAACGATATCATAGCCATCCATCTAAATCCCTGCCTTGGCAGTTGCTAAGGTTATTCCTTCTACATTTACAATATTTATGCAACTGGCCTTTTCATTGTGTTCCCATTGCTATTGTTGTAGTTTAGATCATCATCTTTTGCCTAAACGATTGCAATACTTAGTCTATTATCTATAGGAGAGATTTTCAACTCTGGCTACACATTAGAATTCCATGGAGAACTTTTTAAAAATACAGAAATCTGGGCCCCACTCCAGACCAATTAAATGATAATCTCTGGGAGTGGAGCCTGGGTAATAGGATGGTGTAAAAGTTTCCCAGGTGATTCGAATGAACAGCCAGCATTGAAGGCTACAGTCTGGAGCTTCTCCGTGCTCCATTCTGCCTGTTCCACTATGATCAGGTTTAGTCTTCCTGGAACATACTGGGGATCAGGCAGTTTCTTTCTTCAAAACTTTCAATGGCTACCCATTGTCCATGTTCTTGATACTCAAATGGTGGTCTCCCAGTGTCAGCATCTTCTGGAATGCTGGAAATGCAGAATGTCAGGCCCCATCCCAGACCACTATAACAAGATCCTCAGGTGATTTGTGTTCACTCTGAAGTTGGAGAAGTGTTGCGCTGTTCACAAAGATGCATTCTTCTCGGCTTGGTCTTCGAGTCCCCCTGCATCTGGCCTTGACCGGCTTTCCAATTGTATTTTCTGTTTTTGTTCCACTGTACCTTAGCCAAACAGAACGTTCACTCCAGTGGGCTGTTGGCACCTTGTTATTTGAGCTTATGTGCCCATTCTTTAGATCTCTGCATGTCTAAGACATACCCGTGTCTTATGACCCATCTCAGATTCCAAGAAACTTTCCTGATTCTCCCAGAAGAAGAAATGTTCTCCATCTTCTGAATTCGTACAGCATTTTATTTGTTCTTCTCTTAGGGCGTTCAGCACTGTCTATTATCTTCCCTTAGTGACCTTACAAGTTTGTCTGATTTATCTACCCACAGTGCCAAGCATAATATGTGGTATGTGTTATAATATTAGATGCTCACTGAATATTGTGGAATGAGTAAATGAATGAATGAATTTAAGAATTAATATTATATTTTCCCTATTGTCTATTTTTGCTTATTGATCTGATGATACAGGACACAAATTATATCCTATATGAGCCTGCTCTGAGCAATGAATATGGAGGGTAAGACTGAGGAGACCATGACACTCTCAAAATAAGCCAGAATGAGAATTTCCTCCAGATGTTTTCTCCTCAGAGTCTCTTATCTTTCCTAAGCCCTATTCTCTTTATGATAAGAGAATCAAATTATAATAAAATGTTATTTTAGTATGTGATAAATGAAGACTTAGGGGAGAAATCATTTACTTTAGAAAATGATTCAAAATTAGGCTTATTCTGTTGGTAAGCTCCTTCTAAGTTTAAAATAGCATGTGATTTTTAGTACTGTATCATTCTCAGCTTAAGGATGTATTTATTATAAATCAAGGTTCATATGGGTTAATCTCTAAATCATCTGTATTGCTCTGATTAAGATCACATACAAGGAACAGAGTTTTTCCCCCAAGGCTGGAAGAATAAATTTCCTTTCTGATAAAGCTAGTACCTAGCGTCATTTTTTCTTAAATAGCCAGTGAGTATTATTGAGAACTAGCTCTGTGCTCAGTATTGTACAAGGTATTGGAAGATACAAGAAAAGTTCATTGTGTGTTTCCATAGGGGATCATATCTGGTTGGGGAGAAAAGATTTTGAATATAAGAAGCAATTAGAGGAAAAAGCAATAATCTCATTAAGAGATTATTGATATCATGTAGAACATAGATCTGATAAGAGATCAGAGAAAAATTGTCAGTAATAGATAAAGGAACTGGAATAGTCAAGAAAGTTTTCATGAAACAAATGGAATTTAGGTTAGATCTTATTTTCTTTTTTATTTTTTTATTTTTTTGAGACAGAATCTTACTCTGTCACCGGGCTAGAGTGCCGTGGCATCAGCCTAGCTCACAGCAACCTCAAACTCCTGGGCTCAAGTGATCCTCCTGCCTCACCCTCCCAAGCAGCTGGGACTACAGGTGTGCACCACCATGCCCAGCTAATTTTTTCTATTTTCAGTGGAGATGGGGTCTCACTCTTGCTCAGTTTGGTCTCAAACTCCTGATCTCAAGTGATCCTCCTGCCTCAGCCTCCCAGAGTGCTAGGATTACAGGCGTGAGCTACCACACCTGGCCTAGGTTAGATTTTTAAAGGTAGATTTCTGTAGGAGAGTAGCACACCATGTGCAGGTGAGAGAAGGCAGGAATGTTTGGCAATGAAGGGATGTAGGGGATAAATGGGATCCAGCTTCATTAAAGGGAAAGTTCTTAACTAATATTCATTGCATTCATCCAAGTAATATTCATTGTACATTCCTCGCACTCCTTCACTGTGCCTTGAAATATCACAGGCAACAAGCACTGCCTCTTCCACATGTCATTTACGATAGAACAGGGAAATAGGCATCAAACAAGTCACACGATTAGATATGTAATTTAAAGTTGGGGTAAGTTTTGTGGAAGGAAAGTACAAGATGGTACAGGAACCTAGAGAAATGGAACTTCTCCATTCCTTTAACCATCACTTTGTGGTTGGTTTACTCCAATAACTCCTGTCTAATCTTATCCTGAGTAACAATCTACTTATTCAACAAACCCCTTTTAAATACTTACTGGGTACTGTGCTCTATACTGATTATATGGAGACTAATGTAAGTTTCAGAAATCCTGGTTAACAGGGAAAAGAGACATGTAAACAATATAATGTGAAAAGGGCTGTACTAGAGATATGAGACCACAGATATTTCCAAAAGCAGTGGAAAATAAGGTTACATAAGGAGAGTGGACCCCAAATGATGGCTCTTCGCAGCAAGCAGAGAATTAATATTTGATGTGATAGCATGGGAGTGAGCCCTTTGGATTCTTGTGTGGGGAGAGAGACGTGAGGAAAAATATGGTAGAAGAGTTAATTTTTATGCCAGAGAAGGCTAGGATGGAGGGTTTGGGGATAATCCACACACAATGTGATAGCAAAAAAAGAATGGAGAGGAAGGAGTGCATTCAAGAGGAATTCAAGAGACTAGACAGGACTGACTGGGTAAAAGCTATAATGGTGACCCACTGCCTCTAACCTGGCAACCTACAAGAATTGGGCATCCACAATAGAAACGGGATGTTGAGGGAAGACCTGTTGTGAATGGCGATGTTACTTTGGCTATGTTGGGTTTGGGGCAGTGTGAGGCCTTCAGGTGTCCAGGTAGAGATGTACTGCTGAGGCAAGAGGTTATGACTGAGGATAGCTAGCAGAATCTTCAGTATAGGTGATCGCGGAAGATTAGAAAGTGTATGAACTCGGGGATGAGAAAGAACAAAAAAGAGCTAAACCCAGGACCTGAGGCTTGGGGGACACCCAATGTTAGGCAGTAGTAAAATTTACTACTCTGAGAAGTAAAAGTTACCTGGGTGAGGGGAAGGTTTTTTGTTTTTATTTTTTTTTAGTAGGGTAGAAGGTGAAGTAGGATAGTGTTGTCTGATGGAACTAGAAATATTTCAAGTAGAAGATCTGTAAAAGTTAATGCCTGTGATTTCTTACTGATGTGCTCTCATATATAAGGCATTGCTGTTTTTATAGGTAGGAAATGGTCACACAGTGGCAATTCCAGATGGTACAGCCTAATGGAAGAGGAGATGAAACATACTGTACAAATGTATTTAGTAAGGCAAGATGATGAGACACTCAGTAAGAGAGGTCCAGGCAACATCCTGCTTTCATACATAATTCCTAAAAATGTATATAACAGTCAAGTGGTTGAATGTCTAACAACAGTTTTCCATGGAGTAGGCGGGTTCTATTTTTATAAGTATATATGTGAAATTCTGAATTATACCTTACCTGATATATTTTCAGCATTTATTTGTACCTTGTCTTTAATTTTCTTCCTTTTTCCACAATTAAACTCACAACCTTCCTGCTCAAGTCCAGTGAGCACGTAAAGAGTCCATGTGGCTGATGGTTTCTACCTTTGTCTTATTAATATGGCGATGAGACCGTGAATTCTCAGGGTAACACTAGTAAACAGCACGTTCATTTTTCCATTTTCCACTCATTTCTGTATCACAAAAGATAACCATGTATTCAGGTGTTTGCATAGTAGCAGCTGAAACTGAACAGGCACTTGGCGGGCAGCATTACTAGGCCATGCTTGAAACATTTCTTAGCAACCAAAAAGTTGACATTTTGGCACAGGAAAGGCATTTGAGGCATGTCTGATTTGGTTAAGATATATTATAGGTTTGGCTGTTGTAATAGGTGCCAAGTAATAATGGCTTATGCAAGATAGAGGTTGATTTCTCTCTCATGTAGCAGTCTGGGTGTTAGCCACCCTTGGCTGTGTCAGCCTCCTTAGTCCATCCCTAGAGCGTTGTCCTTTTCTGTATGACACAAGATGGCTCACTGCCACCATGTTCCCATTCCAGCCAGCAGG